ACAGCTACTTTGGAAGCTAATTTGATGGTTTCTACAAAACTAAGCATACTCTTGATGTAAGATCAAGCTACTGTGCTCCTTGGTATTGTCAACTGATGGTTGTTGGTGCCAATTCAACTCCAACAGGAATCCCCAATTTGGGGTGCAGTGAAGAAGGAAACTTTCTTCAGTGCAAAACAGTTCAACTGTGATAGAGCACAGCTGTCAAAACAGCACGCTGTAGAGCCCAGCCGGGCGTGGCTCAGCGGTTGAGCGTGGGCCTAGGATCCAGGAGATCACGGTTCAGTTCCCGGTCAGGGCACATGCCCGGGTTATGGGCTCGATCCGCAGCTGGGGGAGTGCAGGAGGCAGCCGATCAATGACTCTCTCATCATTGATGTTTCTACCTCTCTTTCCTTCTCCCTTCCTCTCTCTGAAATCAATAAAGATATATTTAAAACAACAACAACAACAAAAAACCCCACAAAAAAACCCAGCATACTGTAGAACGCTCTGGATGACCCAAGCTCCACAGCTCTGATGGGATGGGGAAAGCCTCAGTCCTACTGGTTCAAACTGGATTCCAGGAACTCCTGTATAAGGCTGACTCTGCTAGAAGAAATGCAGCGCCGAGACAGGCAGTTCAGTGCAGGCTTCTCTGTAAAATGCAGTTTTCATGAGCAGCCCCTGTGCAGAAATGACTACTAGGCTCTGTTTTAGAAACTGAGGCCAGCAAGCCACCAGGAACCCTTCTTAGTAGGTATCTTTTTTCCCCCCCTCAGTGTTCATAGTATTTACCCAAAGGAACTGAAAACTTACGTTCACACAAACACCTGAATATAAATGTTTATAAAAGCTTTATTAATAATTGCCCAAACTTAGAAGCAAACAAAATATCATTTAGTGGGCAAATGTATAAACTGTGGTACATTCAGACAATGGAATATTATTCAGAGCTAAAACCAAATGAGCTATCTAGCCATGAGCAGACGAGGAGGAAACACTTAAATGCATATTACTACGATAAAAGCCAATGTGAAAAGGTTACATACTGTATGATTCCACCTAATGACATTCTGGAAAAGGCAAAACTATGGAGACAGTAAAAATATCAGTGATTGCCAGTGTTTAGAGGGGAAGGAGGGATAAATAAGCAGAGCACAGAGGAATTTTAGGTCAGTGATACCATAATGGCAGATACATGTCGTGATACACTTGTCCAGACTCACAGGCTGTGCACCACCAAAAGCAAAGCCTAATGTAAGCTACTGACTTTGGATTATAATGATGTTTCAAGGTAGGTTCATTAGTTATGACAAATGCACCACTCTGGTGGGGATGCTGATAATGGGGGAGGCTATGCATGTGAGGGGTAGGCTGTATATGGGAAATCTCTGTACCTTCTACTTAATTTGCCTACAACTGCTCTAAAAAATAAAGTGTATTTTTTAAAAAAGATAAAACAAAACACTAGCATAAAACAGGGGAATACTGTAAAATCTCAGAGTAGAAAAGGCAAAACACAAAACATAAAGGCGCCCAAAGAAAAAAATGTATCAATTTGATTTATAAATGTTTTAAATTTCTACCTGGAAAAGTCGAAAGACAAATAATAAACTGGACCAAATATTTATAAAAATATGACACAAAATTCCAAATCTTCATTCTATAAAAAAGTTCTATAACCAATAAAAAGCAAACCAATAGAGAACTAAACATGAATAGACCATTTCCAGAAATAAAAATGTAAGTATGAAAAGAAGTCCAACTTCACTCATAATTAAATATACATTAAAACAATGACTACATAGCATTTTTCACCTATTGGATTGGCCAAAATGTAAATGTTTGCTAAAATATTGCATGTTCAAAAGTATGAAAAAACTGGCACAATTGAAAACTTATGTTTACACAAAAACCTGTACACAGATGTTTATAGCAGCTTTATTCATAATTACCAAATCTTGGAAGAACCAAGATGTCCTTCAACAAGCTGAATAAATGGTGGCATATCCATACAATGTAATACTATTTAGCACTAAAAGAAATGAGCTGCCAAGCAACGAAAAGATGGAGGGATCTTAAATACATATTGCTAAGTGAAGTAAGTCAATTTGAAAAATCTATACATTATGTGCTTCCAACTATGCTGTATGACAATCTGGAAGAGGCAAATGTATAGAGGCTGTAAAAATATCAGTGTTGCCAAGGGTTGGAGGGGTGGGGGAAGATGAAGAGAGAAACAGGTGGAACAAAGGGGATTTTTGGGATCCTGAAACTATTTGTATGATCCTTTCATTTTGGATATAAGTTTGTCAAAAACCATAGACTATACAACACAAAGAGTAAACCATAATATAAACTAGGGACTTCAGTTAATAATAATGTGTCAACATTGTTCATCAATGATAACAAATGTACCACACTTATACAAAATGTAAATAACAGAGGAAACTATGGGGGAGGAAAGAAAACTCTATAGTTTCTGATCAATTTTTCTTTAAGCCTGCAACTGCTTGAAAAGACCAAAGATCTGATATTTTAAAAATAGGTCACAATTGGAGGATTTATGAACTAATTATTTTGAAAATTGTTAAACAAAGAGAAATATTTAAGCATCTGATGTATTTCCAATACACACCGGATTACTGGAAATCAAATAATAGAGAAGTTTCTCTATTATAGACATATTCCAGCTAATAAAGGAAGGAACACTATTTCCATTTTGTAATACCTGATCAATTAATCTATCTAGGTAATGATTATCAAAGGCTGCTAAAATTACAAAAGGAGACACAACCATGTGTAAAATATACTATCTTCACAAAAAAAGAAAAAAGAAAGAAAAAGAAAAAAGAAAGGCAAACCTGAGTCTGACATAGTTTCTAGATCCAACTACCAATTTACAGAAAATAGGACAGGAAAACATACATTAAGTGGCATTAAGGGGATACAATCGGCAAAATCCATACGGTATAAAACCATAGGTCAAATGACAAATTTCTTTGATAAACAGATTTCAAGGAGAAAAGAGTTGGAAAAAAATCTTTAGATTAAAGGAGACTTATGAGTCAAATCAACCAATCTCATGTATGAACTTTATTTGGATCTTGATTCATACAAATTCTAAATTTAAAAATTATTAGACAATTGGAAATTTTAACATTGACTGAATATGTGATGATATTAAAGAGTTATAAAATTTTTATGTGTGGTGATATTGTAGTAGTGGCTTTAATAAAGCTTATAGCATGTCACACTGTTATATTTACAGATGAAATGAAAAAGTGTCAGAGATTTATTTCGACATTAAAATAGAAAAGAGGGAAAGGGTAGGGATTTAGAGAAACAAGACTGGTCATTAGTAAATAATTGTTGAAACTGGGTAGTGGGTACATGGGTTTATTATATTAATCTGTTTACTTTTGCATGTTTGAAATTTTCCATAGTAAAATTATTTTTAAAAATGAGCAACAGTAAATAGTAAAGAGTGCTATTATAAAACAAAAACCATGTAGTCCTTTTTGTAATATATCTGATTGTGTGGCAATTATTTTTGATCCCTACTACTCCCTCAGTCCCCTACCCATTCCGTTATCAAATTCTGCTGATTCCACCTCTTTATGGCCACTTCTTTCCATTTATTCCAAGCTAAATTTGGCCTGTGTATAGTGTACTTCTATTTTTACTTTCCTCCAAACCTGGAGCCACAATGGTATTTTTTAAAAACCCATTTAATCATACCCATCACACCCATCCTTTGCTTAAAATCCACAAATGACTTTTTGATCATAGGATAAAGGCTAAAACCTTCAATATGCAGTGAAAGGCCTTTCTGACCTTGTGCCCTCACTGGCTCCATCTGGAGATGCAGCCCCTTGCCCTTCTCTATATGCCAGCAATATCCTGAATTTGCCATACTCACTCTCAACTCAGAGCATTCACACATACTGTTCCCTCTGCCTGGAACACCCCCTCCTCTCCCCTTCCCCACACCCTCATCGTTAGCTCTCACCTAAATGCTACCTTCTCAGGGTAACTTTCCCATTATTCTTGGTCTAGGTGAGGTCAACTTTCTCATACCTTCATAATAACTTGTCACAACTGACATTTAAATGTTAAAGTTATTTGTTTAGTGTCTGTATTTTCTACTATAATATAATCTCAAAGAAAGAAGAAACTAGATCTTATTATTGTATCCCCAAAACCTACCATTTTGCCTTGTACATAGTAAAGGGTCAATACATCTTTATTAAACTGTAAATGACTGGATTGACGAATGGATACATAAATAAATTTAAATATTGGTCAAATCATGAAACAGAATTACCTGTACCATAATTATAATATCACACAGTTAACTTTAATGACGTTAATCATACTCCCAAATAAAAGATTTGCAAAGCTTCAATGTTACACATATGTAAATAAACAAAAGGAGGAATAAATGAGAATGACTTCACTACCAGTTCCTCACTGATGCTCCAAAAGTACTTACCAACAAAGGAAAAGAGATATCTTAATATATCATCCACCTTTCAAAGAAGGCACAAATATATCCAAATAAAAGTAGTTTTGAAACAAGCTCTACTTCTCTATGCTATTCAGACAGAAAACTCAGATTCTCTGAAAGAGTAATACAGACCATATATCCTAAAAATGTACATTTATATGCAATCATTTAAAACAAGCTACATATATAGATTGCACAGTCTCTTAACTCTTATTAAATGGGTGAATTTAACTAACTTATTCAAGTAACATCAAAGTTTAAACATTTTAAAGATTAGATCTTCATAATTTTTTAAATCAATTAATGAAAGAAAACTACAAACTCCTGAACCAAAATTTTATTTTAAATTTTAGGCATATTAGTGTGTATGAAAAATGTTCATAGCACATGACATGTAAAGATGCTAGCACATTGAACTACAATAGAAAATATTTTTATACAACTTTTGGATCACTAGTATGCTTATTTCTCCTGTGAATGAAGGCCCAGTTTTCTTAAGTCACCTTTGTCATGGGATATCAAGTATGTTTAAAATTTTTATATTATTATTTAATAACCTCCTAATAAGGCTTTGAGTTTGTGGTCGACTTATACATAATGTTCTTTTCAATGTAAGGACTACTATAGCAGCTTTTTGTCTCATATTCAGTGGAACATATTTAATATTTAAATATTGAGATAACTTAGATCTAGAATTATACAGCATGGTAATAACAGTTTCCATGTCATCCATTCTAAAACCACTGCGTTCTAGTGGTAATCCCTGAGATTTATACATTTTTTGTAATCTGTGTTCTGCTGCTTCTGCTATAGCAAGGCTTCGTCTTAGGTGCTCTCTAGAGGCTTGAATGTCCTTTCTATATTCTGGCCTCAGGCTCTCAGTAAGAGGTACATGTTGCACTTCCGAACGAAGATTTGATATTTTGTCCAAAATTTCTTTACTCACAATTAGTGGGTTATTTTCAAATAATGCTGTATCATATTCGCCTGAGAGCTGAGGAACATCTTCTATTTCTGTGGAGGTTTCCCAGTAAGTGCTCCTACTTGAAGGACTTGGAGGTAATTCAGTAACATTTGGCCATAACATTGCTGCCCCTGTTCGTGGCTCTGGCAGTAACTCGGACTCTAGTTCTGGCTCTGGCTCTTCTTTTTCAATATAAGGTTCTTTTGTACGTAAAACAACAGAAACATTGTTTGGTTTAATTGACCAGAATGGTGTACTTTTAGTATATCTTTCCTCCACTTGTGCCGGTTGGAAGTCTCTAGTAGGTAAAGGTGTAGCTTTATTACTGAAAGGGTAACTTAAAATACCATTCTCAGTTGAAACTTTGCCAGGTGAAATTAACTCCTTAAGTTGTGATGCCTGCGGTCTCACAGAATGAACACTATGTGGAGTCTTTGAAATTTTCTGATGGCCTGACTTCTTAGTGGGAACACTTAGTACTAGCTTCTGTAAAACTTGTACATAATGATTCAAGTTTTTTTCTTCGTCAGGTGTCACAGTTATTTCTTAAGGGGAAAAAATATCAAACAATAAATAACATTTATTATTATATGTGATATATTGACAAAATCTACTGACCCATATTTACTTCATATGCTACCACTTAGAAGTTAAAATAAAGCACCAAGAAATAAAGCATATCTGACAGTCAACTCTCACTTAAAAGAACAAAATTATTTTCTCAGATTCTTATTAAAATGAGCAAGGTTAGTGCAAAAGTTGCATATTAACACAATTCTTTTTGCGAATGCTCTCCCATATAACTGATGATTCAGTAGGTAACATATTAAAACAAAAGTCGTACCCTAGCCAGTTCACTCAGTGGTTAGAGCGTCAGCCCTCGGACTGAAGGGTTCCAGGTTTGATTCCAGCCATGGGCGCGTACCTCAGGCGTAGGCTCGATCCCCAGCCCTGGTTGGGGTGCGTGCGGGAAAGCAACCAATCAATGTGTCTCTCTCACATTGATGTTTCTCTCTCTCTCTCCCCCCCTTCCACTCTCTCTGAAAAGCAATGAAAAAATTCTTATGTCCTCCAATAGTGGTGTGCTTAATTAGGTTCACACTGGCTCACCAGAGCCAACTGTTAAATTTTAAGAACTTTGTGAGCCAGATATTAAACATAGACATCATTAAAAATTATCTGAATTTGCATTTTAATAAATTGTATTGAAAATAAAAGTAATAAATATTCAAAACTCATCACTTTCTTATTTTATTTCATTTTACTATTATCTTAGTTCTTGAGGATACTTATATCTAGGGTATCTGTATGGTAGAAACACTAGAATGCTGTGCTACTGTATATCTCTTTCTACCTCCCTGTTCAGTGATGTCAAGTAAGTGGCTTGAAACCAGCAATGATGGGGCAAATGCTATAAATCAGGGCTTACCCTTCTTTCCAAAAAGCCAGTTAAACATTTACCAGTATACTACTGCCTTTAACCCAAAAAAGATCTAACTATAGCCTGTGGGTCATCTTCATCCAACTGTTTTTGTAAATATAGTTTTATTGGAACCAACCAGTCTTGCCCATTTGTTTATGCTCCAACAGTAGAGTTGAGTAGTTACAACAGAGACCACATGGCCTGAGAAGCTGAAAATACTTAGTACCTGGCCCTTTATAAAAGTTTGCAGATTCCTCTCTAAAACGTCAACATTTCACTTTTACAACAAAAATGACAGTTCTATTTGTACTGGTATTTTGCAGCATCTGAGTAGTGAATCCTCTCATTTCCAGTGTGGAAAACAAAAAAGACTACTGAATAAGATATTCTGAAATTCTGCTCAACTTCCCTACTCCTAGTCAGGAGTTTGAAATTTTAAGTGTTGGAACTTTGTATTGAATGTAATTTTGAACAGGTTTTTGCCACTGTCATGGATACAAATTGATTTAATTCAAGGAAGTAAGTCATGTTTTAGCAAATTCTAATGCATAACATCTACCTGAACCACCCCCACCCCACCCTCAACCCCACCCCGCAGGCAAAATGAAATACAGTAGTAACAAAGTTTTTGTTCAGGAGGCACTTTTTATTTGGCTGTTTGGCAAGCACAAAATAATCCAAAAATACTATATATTTATACGTTTTGCCTCTCTTCCTTAACTCTTCTGTTACAACTTAGAAAGACCAGATGAAGTTTAATCAAAATTGAATGCATATTTCTAAATTTTAAAGAAGTGGTAATGAAAAGTTTAGTGAGGCAATATGAGAGTGGGAAGATACTAGATTTGTCTGAAGATCTAGGTTCTAAAAGTTTAGAAGAGTTTCATCACCCCCAAAATAAATCCATTCCTAATTGCCCCTATCCCTCAATCTAAGCAACCACTAATCTACCTTCTGTCTTTATGGATTTGCCTATTCTATACATCACATATAAATGAAATCACACAAAATGTGTTCTTTTGTGACTGGCTTCTTCTACTTAGCATGTTTTTAAGGTCACCTATATTGTAGCATGTACTTCAGTATTTTATCCCTCCTCCCCCCTTTTTGTCCTGTAATGTCAGTTGTTACTTCTCCTCTTTCATTTCTGATTTTGTTTATTTGGGTCCTTCCAGTCTTTTTCTTGATGAGTCTGGTTAAAGGCTTATTAATCTTGTTTATCTTTTCAAAGAATCAGCTCCTGATTTCATTGATCTTTTGTATATTTTTTTAAGACCCTATTTTATTTCTGCTCTGACCTTCCTTCTATGCACTTTGGAATTTGTTCATTGTTTCTTTTCTAAATCCTTTAGGTCTAAGGTTAGATTGCTTGAGGTTTTTCTTGTTTCTTGAGGTAGGCCTGTATTACTATGAATTTCCCTCTTAGGACTGCTTTTGCTGTGTCCCATAGGTTTTTAGGTAGTTGTGTTTCATTTTCATTTGTCATAAGGTATCTTTTCATTTCTTCCTTGATCTCATTGTTAACCCATTTATTGTTTAGTAACATGTTATTTAGCCTCCATGTGTTTGTGTGTTTTTCAGTATTTTGTGGCTTTTTGTTGTTGTTGATTTCTAGTTTCATACCATTGTGGTTGGAGAAGATGCTTGCTATTATTTCAATTTTCCTAAATTTATTGAAATTTGTTTTGTGGCTTAACATGTGGTCTATCCTAAAAAATGTTCCATGTGCACTTGAAAAGAATGTATATTCTGCTATTTTGGTAAAATGCTCTAAAATATCAATTAAATCTATCTGGCCTAATGTGTCATTTAAGGCTGCTGTTTCCTTTTTTATTTTGTCTTATAGACAGCATATACAGGGTGTCCCCAAAAATGTATACACACTGTAACAGCTGATAGCTCAATTTTGGAAATGAAATGTATTTTAATAAACACTGCCTTTATAATTATTCAAAGTGTGTGTATACTTTTTTTGGGATACCCTATATATGGGTCTTGTTTTCTTATCCATTCAGTTAACCTATGTCATTTTATTGGAGCATTTAATACATTTACATTTAAAGTGATTATTGATAGGTAGTATCTATTGCCATTTTATTATTTATATTAATGTTCCTTTTTTCTTTCTTCTTCTTAAAGGAATCCCTTTAACATTTCAGCAATCCCAGAGTGTACTATATGTATCAATGTCACCTAAACTCTCCATATATGTTAGTCAGTTGGGACCTACTGATCTACAACTACCAAAATGCAATAACTGGTATTAGTAATAATGACCATCAGACTTCAAGAAAAAATAATATCATCTTCAGCATGTTCTGTTCATTTATGGCAAAGAACATTTTTTACAAAGATTTTTGTTTAAAACAACCAACAATCATAAATACTAGTATTTAATGGACTAACTTATTTAAGGCGCTTTATCCAGAACTTTTGCAGCTACTAATTCATGATTTAGGTTATGTTGTATTTTCATTTTTAAAGTATAATTTCTAACTAAGACCTTTTAACAATTCTGAAATGTAGTCATGCATAACTAGCATGAATTTTAGTGCTTTACACCTACCTATTAAATTTTATTTGGTTAAACCAAACCCTAACATTACAAATGCTATGATGAACTATAGTTAGACTAGGCGGATAAGCCGAAAGTCGTATCTGGAATATCAGCTCTCAGACGCTGAACTTCACTACTTAAATACCTCAAGGTGACCACCTTATTAATTTTCCGCTATTGAGGAAGGACAGTTCGAAAGTCATAATTAACAAAGGTTTCTAATTCGGTGCTCCCGAGGATGCTCTGTAGTAGTGCACAGGGGGTCAGTGAGTGTCCCAGACCGCTGCCCACTACCCACATGTTCTCCATGCTTTACCACAGGGGTTAAACTTTTTCTGTAAAGGGCCAGATAGTAAATATTTTAGGCTTTGCAGGCCATACTGTCACTGTGGCAACTAACTCCGCTGTTATGACAAGGGAAAGCAGCCATGGACAATACATAGAGGAATGAGTAGGGCTGTATTCCAATAAAACTTTATTTATGAACAATGAAATTGGAATTTCATACTTCTTCACATGTCACTAAAGGTCATATTTCATATTCACACTTAAAAATGTAAAAACCATTCTTAGCCGTCCAGCCGCCAGAAACAGGCCACCTTGGCCCGCTGGCCGCAGTTTGCCCGCCCCACCCCCCTGCTTATCACACGGACAGTGACTCTCAGACGGGGGAGGGGCGGGGGGACACGGACCATCAAGGACCCTCTCCGCCGAGGCAAGGTCACACCCGCGAGCCCCACATGCCCCGTCCGGAGCGCCCCGTCAGTCTGGGACCCACTGTCCGCATCACCGCGTTGCCAGGCCAGCCCTGCAGCGCGCAGGTCGGAGAGGAGGAGGCCGCGAGTAGAAGAGGACAAACGTCGGCGTTGGAGGCCAGGACCCTGGACAGTGGCGTGTGGGAGGAGTGTGGGACCCAGGCACAGAAGAGCCGAAACTCCGGCGGCCCCGGAACCCGGAGTTCCCCTAGGAGTGTCCCCCGGGTCGTTGCTACCTCAGGCCGGTCACTCACTCGGATACGCCGGCACGAACGAAGGCCAAGTCAACAGCGCAAATAGAAGGACTAAGGACTCCATGGGCATCGTCCGCACCACTCCGCCATGCGATGGGAACGTCCTGGGGCCACCGGGACGGGTACTTCAGGGCCAAAGGGGAGGGTCCCGGCGGCCGACGATCCTGACTCAGGGCCCTGGGCGCCCTGCAACCGTCGTCCCCAGCGCGCATGCGCAGACAGTGTCGGGGCGGGGAGCGCGAGCGGCCGAGGCCCGCCCCCTCCTGGGGCCGCGTGCAGGGGGCGGGGCAACCAC